CAAAAAAAATGTATAGAAAACACCACTATATATCCTCATATTTCCAGTTGATCACCGGTAATATAAAATTTTAATCAATATTCTCTATAAGCACCGCTGGTTTCTCAGCTAAATCACGAACTCCTCCGACCGGCAAAGGGCGTCGGCATCAGCGATTCGGATTCGGCGACTACTCTTCTCTTCTCTGTATGTCTCTCTCTTCTTTCGTCTCTTTTGTAGTATTATTTTTGTTTAATTTGTTTCATCCTCGTTTGTTTTGATTTAATGTAGTGAATCATTCTTCTATAACTGTCGGCTATCAGTGAATTGGTTCAATTTCATGGCGAAGGAGATGGTATAGAATGAAGAATGAAAGGTTGAATATGATGCGTAATTTTTGGATAGAAATTTGCAGTTACTGAGAAACCAACCAAATTATGCATTTGGGCGTCACAATTTGTTATTGGAAAATTCGAATAGAATATTCTCAGAAATAATAATTTAAATTTCTTAATTCAAGTGACAAAGGTTGGTTGAGGGAGTTGTGACTTAGGTCACAAATTCAAGTTCCCAGGGCTTAGTTCAAGTGCCAAAGGTAGAGGAAGCAAGTGAAATAACAAGAAGCACCTAAATTTAGTTTAAGTTATAACATTCATACTTCATGGGGGAAAGGAAACAGAGATTTGGTCTTAATGCGACTGGAATCTGAAGCTGAGAATGAATATTAACCGTCCTCTTCAGAGAGCTGTAGTAATTTGTTATGCATATTTGTTTTCATAGTGCCGTAGTTGTTTGCATAGAGAGATTTGGCAACTTTAAGAGAAGGTTGATGAATGGTATTCTTTGACTTAACTTCCTCGCATCTGCGATGAAAGCTCACATTTCCTTCACACAGAGATGTGTTTTATACTGACCGTGATGGTAGCTCAGATTTCCTTCATTTAATGATGTGTTTTATAGTACTAAAAGGTCTATGACAACTGAGAGCAAATATTTAGGATGTTCAAACTTGTCTCGACTCGGAAATGAGCATTACAGTGGTTTGCTTGGTCTTACCAAACTCAGACAAGTTCAGTTGAGCCGATTATGAGTCAACCTCAAGTTGTTACCCTGTGTATTCAGTACATCTATTGGTTATTGAGTCAAGCTCTAACTAAGTATAATAAATTAAGAAAACACACCCATGGAAAAGAAAACCAAAAGGAAGAGTGTGTTCAAGTTTGACTACTTATTAACAGAAAAAATTGTCCAAGCTTAGTTTGATGGGTTAACCAGATTAACTATGTTGAAGTACCAGCTAATCAGCTAGAGAGGATTTGCAAATTGACTCATTCTCAATTTACACACTAAATTCAGTTTTGCTCAATAGTCGGTATCTATCTTGCTGCGTCCTTTATCCTTAGTTTTTCCTATTTTACATCTGTGCTTCTTATGTTGTTTTCAAAGTATAGTGTACACTGGTTAGTCAAATCCTTCTTAGGCATAATGTTTAACTACACATTAAAGTAATAAAATCATGCCTACACCAAATGTGCTCCATGATCCATAAGTGTTTTCACGAAAACTTGATTCCTAAAGTTATGTCAACGGCTAATTTATTTCACTATTGTTATACTTTATTTTACATAATAGTTTATCATCTTGTTAACATCGATATCGATTGTAATATTATCTGGTGCTATTTTACATAATAGTTTATCATCATCATCATCTTGTTGACCACGATTGTAACTGCTGCTATCTTTTAGATCCATATCACCTAGTGCTGGAAAGCCATATTACTTTAACATTATGGCTCTATAATATATAAGAGAGGATAACCAGGCACCTGATGGTCAACATGCCTGCTTCATTTTGTCATTTCATGTGTTGTTGACACATTCATCTGAATTTGCCAGGTAGAAAGCACCGCTTCGAATTTTCTTACATTTCAATTCCATCTCCGCTGCATTTCTTTGCTCTGCTTAACGCTGACAGCAACAAAGTACCCACCTTTCTTCTCTCATCCATCAGTGTTCTCCTTTTTCCTATGTTAGACCTTCATATCGATTGCACTCTAATTCTGATCCGCTTCCTCTCTCTGGTTACTGGTAAGTGCTGAATTTACAAATTTAACTTTCTAAAGCAGCTTTTTTTAGATTGGAAATAATGTCTAGGGCAAAATAAATATTGTGTAGGATTAGGGGCGGAAAATATTATTGTTTAAAGTTGGATATTGAGTTTAATTTTCGGGATGTGAATAATTTTCACCCTACCAATAATAATTGTCATTATGATTAAAGGCCTCTTTTGGGGGTTTAATAAATTTCCCTTCCCGCCCTTTGGAGAGAAGGGCTGCCCCCAAAATCTGCAGCGAGTAGTAGAAACTAGAAGAAGAAATGGAGTTCACACTCAGTGGGAATGGACTGAAGGCATTCGCCCGATGCATCACGTGCCTCGCACGCATTGGCAATGAGCTCGTCATTCAAGCCTCTTCTTCCCAGGTGAACACTACTTTGGTTTATTTATTTATTTCTTTTCAGAGTCTTAGAATCAATTAATTGATCATAACTTTATAATTTTCTTGATAGTCCCTTAGTGTTTGGTGCTCTGTAATAAGTTAGCTGAAGAACTAAAAGTATATGGATGTAATTTTGGGATTGCTTTTGCTCCATAACTTCGTGCTCTTACAGTAATTAGGGTTTTGTTATTAACGAGGTTGTATAAAGAAGCTTCAGATTATGTTGTGGGCATATGAGGCGTAAACTAAAATAAACGAAAGCTGGACCTTGATTGATGCAATATCCAAGCATGAACACCGCTGTCCCATGAAAAAAAACTTATCCGTGCCCATTTTCTACACCGAGCAAATGAATGTAAGATCTTTTATATAAACTTGTACAACTTACCTCATATGTATTCACACTTTAATTTGTGACTTTTATGATTAAATTGCTTGATTTCGCATAAATCAGATAAGTATATTTCCACCTCCAAGCCTGGTCGCAAAGACCTAATGCATAGAGTTGTTGGTAGTCATACAATAATAGAGTTGCAAACTTCTAGGGGGGAGCAAATATTGTCCTGGTTTGTACCTAGGATATATAGGGTTGGGTTCCATATTTAGGATCAGACTCTTGATAATTGAGCTAACCCCCTTCGGAATTAGATATTTGTCAGCTTAGAGTAAATTGCATCGTTCTCTTTTCTGATATAACAAAGTGATGATGATATGAGTTAAGCTAAATGAAAGAAATGAGAATTTATATCGCCCACCCCAACTTATTTGGGACTGAGGCGTAGTAATAGTTGTTGTATCTGATATAACAAGGTCCCTGATGATTCAACAATGTTTGACAAAGGGCAAATCAGTGTTGTCAAAGACGCGCTTTAAGTGCGCTTAAGCCCTGAAGCGATGCACAAAGCATGTTGAGGCTTCAATGTCATCATCAAGGCTCTAAGGCATATTTTCTTTGCCAATGAGCGTACTTCTGAAGAGGCGACACTAAACAATTGATATTTCACTATATTGTTATTTTTTTAAAATTTCTTTGTCCTCATATTTGTTTTTCATGCCTATAAATAATTATTACTCTTGGACTGCACATATATATTTATATATTTTTTTCTCTATTTGCGCCTTTCTTCATTAAAGCCCACATTTTATTTGCGCTTAGTAGAGTTTTTTTGCGCTTTTCGCCTTTGATAACACAGGGAAAAATTGGTCTCATCTTGTTAAACCGGAAACCATCAAAATGGATGTGAAATTAAAGTTCCCAGTTCATTGTCCTTTTCTTTGGCAGCTCACATGTCACACTCTCAACTCCTCAAGATCTGCCTATCAATCAATGACATTTGAACCTGATTTTTTTGATGTCTACACCGTCTTGGGTCCACATGTGCAATGTAGTGTGCTCTTGAAGGTATATGCTTTTAGCAATGCAATGCTGCATCGTCTAAAATGTGTTGGTTACCCGACTGTTGAATTTTCACTTACCTTATTTTTACAGGCTATTTGTGCTGTTTTAAGAACACCAATTGCTAGTATTGATCATTTGAGTGTGTCATTGCCTAATCCTGATGCATCAAAGGTGCAATGGACATTGAACTGCCATAATGGTAAGACTTTCTCTATAGTATTTCTTTTCATTTTTTCCAACTTTTTCAGGATTTAACCAAATAGAAGGAAAATACATTTCTGGTTAGGAGCCTATAGATTAGGACGAAACATCTTTAATTTGACGGATGAACCGTGTAGAGACTCTCGCAGCTTTAGTGTCAAAGGTCTGGTAAATGTTACTCCCTCCGTTTCAATTCAGATGAGCTATTTTGACTCGGCACGAAGTTTAAGAAAAAAGAAGAAGACTTTTGAAACTTGTGGTCTTAAAAGCTTAAGGGGGTAAAAGCTTTGTGGGGTGATGATATATGCGTGGCTATAAAAGCTTCTCATTAAGGGTAAAATGAAGAGTTTAAAGTTGAATTATTTTTAAATTTAGAAATGTGTCATTTATTTTGGAACAGACAAAAAAGGAAAGTACCTCATCTAATTTGAAACGGAGGGAGTACTATGATTCTCATGAATCAATGGTCACTTTTTTTTATCTTCCATGCTTTTTCTTCACATTTTGGTCACAGTGTGATATAATACCAAAAGGGAGAAGATAGAAAGGTAAAGGAAACATCAGAATGGAGAGAAACTAAGAAAGAAAGCTAAGAGGGAGAGTATAACGGCTCAGACCGAACTGCTAAGGTATTGTCCGCTCCTCGGGGCCTCACATTTTTGTCCCCTTGGGCTTTGGTCCAAAAGGCGCTTCAACAATTGAAATCCTTTGCTCGCCTTTTATGGCCTCTAACTTTCCCTTCCTATTCAGTTATGGGATTTGCCTAAGGAAAATAGGGCTGTGCATAATATAGTAAATACCGAATTACCGTATCGAAACCGAAACTTTTGGTATATGGTATCCGGTATTTTGGTCTTTGGTATGGTATTTGGTTTAAGTTTTTAAAATAATTTGGTATTAGGTATGATATTTGGTATTTAAAAAAATAATACCGAAATACCAATACCGTACCGAAATATATACTAAATTAACATACTAAGTTAAATAATACTTTTCTTTGGCATTCATGTTGAGATTGGCTGTAAAGCCAATGTACTTCTTTAGAAAAATGGAAGAACAAGGTAGGATGCAGGTTCTGATTCTTACTCTCTAGGTTGCTAAGCAGTTTAACGTAATGTTTTAACGGTTTTAAGGTGCTTTTTTCTCCGTTACTCTTGTATTGTTGTTGCATATGTTGGATTAGTCTATGTTGTATTCTCTAATTTCAACAATTAACTCTAAGCAAATAATATGATAATTTCAATGATCAAGTTTATTCCTTTATGTACTTTTTTTCTCTTAGTTGATATTTGATGCTTTTGGACAAAGATTTTGTCAACAGGCAGGTGAGCTTAGAACGTTTTTATTGAGTACTTCATTTAAAAATATTATAGTCTATGGCTCTATGCACTAGTTAATATTCAAGCCGAATAAACTGAAATTACCGGACCGAAAGGAGAAAAGTCGAACCATACCTAATTACATTCGGTATGGTATTGATATAGCATCTTAAGAAACTAAATACCAAAAGTACTGAACTGGTGCACTAAGCTCCCGTTATGCGTGGGACTCGGAGAATGGCCGAACTACAAGGGTCTGTTGTACGCAGCCTTACCCTGTATTTCTGCAAGAGACTGTTTCCACGGCTCGAACCTGTGACCTCCTGGTCACATGGCAGCAACTTTTCCAGTTACCGAACCGAAATGATTAAATACCGTACCGTACCGTTCGATGAACCCTAAAGGAAAGTATTATAGTGAACCTCCTTTTGAATTCAATGATTAGCGGTTTGTAGGCTGTTACGAGGTATGGTCTCTGATACCACTTGTAATGCCCCATGCCTAATTGCCAAGGTATTGTCAGCTCTGGTCTAACCTTTGGGTTTGTCCATTTGGTTATAATCTTGTGAGAAGTATAGCACGAAAATGTTTTATTAATTATGTCTAAAGTGTTAGTACAATGCCCTATTTATATACAATGATTACATGATAATATGTATCTACTTCCCGACGTAGGACACTATACATTACTAACTATTTAACACTCCCCCTCAAACCGGTGCATATAAATCATATGTACCGAGCTTGTTACATATGTAACTAATACGAGAACCAGTAAGACACTTGGTAAAAATATTTGCAAGCTCATCATTTAACTCTACAAACTTTGTAACAATATCTCCTGAGAGTATCTTTTCTCTGATAAAGTGATAGTCGATCTCAATGTGTTTAGTCCTCTCATGGAACACCAGATTTGACGCAATATGAAGAGCATCTTGATTATCACACACCAGTTCCATCTGATTGATTTCTCCGAACTTCAACGCCTTGAGCAACTACTTGATCCAAACTAGCTCACACGTTGTCATAGCCATGGCCCGATATTCTGCTTCTGCGCTAGATCGAGCAACTACATTTTGTTTTTTTGTTTTTTCAAGAGACCAAATTACCTCCTACTAGAACACAATATGCAGACGTAGAACGTCTATCAGAAGCTGATCCTGCCCAATCAACATCTGTGTACCCAACAATTTGCTCATGGCCTCGATCCTCGAATAGTAATCATTTGCATGGAGCTGACTTTATATATCGAAGAATGCGAACGATATCCCAGTGACTATCACAGGGAGAATCCATAAACTTACTTACAACACTCACATGAAAAGAAATATCAGGTTTAGTCATAGTCACTGTGAGGTAATTCAATTTGCCAACCAACCTCTTATATCTCGTAGGATCGGTAAGAGGCTCCCCCTGTCCTAGAAGAGTCTTAGCATTCAGATCCATATGAGTGTCAACAGGTTTGCAGCCCATCATTCCAGTCTCCTCAAGAATGTGTAAGGCATACTTTCGCTGTGAAATAACAATACCTGAGCTAGACTGAGCGACCTCAATATCTAGAAGATAGTTCAATCTGCCCAAATCCTTAGTTTGGAAGTGCTAAAAGAGATGCTGCTTCAGATTAGTAATACTATCCTAATCATTGCCAGTAATAACAATATCATCAACATAAATCATCAGATAAATACACAAATTAGGAGTAAAATGCCGATAAAATATAGAGTGATCAACTTCACTATGAGTCATGCCGAACTCCTGAATAACGGTGCTGAACTTATCAAACCAAGCTCGAGGGGACTATTTCAAACCATATAGTGACTTGCGCAATCGGCATACAAGACCACTAGACTCCGCCTGAGCAACAAAATCAGGTGGTTGCTCCATATAACTTCTTCTTCAAGATCACCGTGGAGAAAAACATTGTTAATGTCTAACCGATAAAGAGGGCAATGCCGTACAACAACCATGGACAAAAAGAGGCGAACAAATGCTACTTTAGTCACGGGAGAGAGAGTGTCACTATAATCAAGCCCAAATATCTGAGTGTATCCTTTTGCAAAAAGACGAGCCTTAAGCAGATCAACCTGGCCATCTGGGCCGGCTTTGACTGCATAAACCCAACGATAACCTATAGTAGACTTACCCGAAGGAAGAGGAACAAGCTCCCAAGTGTCACTTGCATGTAAAGCAGACATCTCGTCAACTATAGCCTGTCGCCATCCTCACCGACTTAAGGGATGGAAACAATGGGCAAAAATGATATAAAAGCATAATGAGGTGATGATAACTTAAACCGACATAATGAGGATTAGGATTAAGTGTGGATCGTTCACCTTTTCGGAGTCCAATTGGTGGACCAGGAGGAGACACGTCTGCAGTAGGTGCAGAATCTGATGATGGACGTGAATTACCTGGGCCTGATGGTGGACGTGGACGACGATGATAAGTCAAGAGTGGTGGCCTTGCGGCTGGGGATGTAGGAGGAGCAACTGTAGACTCCTCAAAAGTATGTATAGGTAGTTGTGGTTGTGGTGGTGCTGTTGATGTGGATTCCTCACAAGTAGGTACATGTAAGATCTCAGATATACTAAGATGATTAGAAGAAGTAAAGTAAGGTTAACAACAACAACAAAAAATCCAGTGTAATCCCAAAAGTGGGGTGCGGGGAGGGTAGTGTGTACATAAACCTTACCCTAACCCTATAAAAGTAGAGATGTTGTTTTCGATAGACCCTCGGCTCAAGGAACAGTAAAAATAAAGTAACATGACCATGCTTAGTACATGATCCAATAATACACACTTAACATTTCTCAAAAAAGAACAGAGCAGTCTAGTGTTGTTGAAAGTGTAAAAGCTATATATTAAACAGCCTCTGATGCTGGTGTAGAATATAATTTCATCTAAAAGTGTCTAATTTGCCTAATTCTTTACACTAGGTATATACAAAGACTACGTGAATCTATGTGAATAATCCAACTTTAAAGACTTAAATTGCCAAATCAATTTCTAAGATAATAATGCCAGCATAGTCTTGACTTACTCTTACTTCATAAAATAACTGTTATCCACTTTTCATCTAAAAAAATACAAAAAATGAAAACAAGAGTTATAGTTCCTTTTAGGGGAGTACATGGACCGGGTTGGTTCGGTTTTTATCAAAACCGAACCAAACCAAACCATTATATCGGTTTGGATTGGTTCGGTTTTGTCGGTTTTGTCTGGTTTTTCGGGTTTTTGTTACTTAAATATTATTTCAATCTTATTTTGTTAAATTTTTTATAAGTAAATATATGTTTAATAAAAATTTAAAAAATTGACAAACATATTATCTATTAAAATATTATTATGGGAGAATTTACTTAGTAACACATGATAGTTATTTTTTTAGTCGCCTGACAATAATTTTTTTGTTGATGTATACTTTTAAGGTTAATCGAATTTAGTAATTAACATAAAAATCAATACGATACCGAAATAATAATAATCACTTCAAATTCGAAAAAGATATAAAAATTTAATAGATCTTGACATATGAATATGGAAGGACAAAGAGATTGACGCATTTCAGTAACACTTGATAAGAAAGTGATCATATAACCCATTATTTAAGGTTAATAAATATCTAGCACGTCATATTCTGTTAAATATTATATCACGTAAGAGAATCCCAAATATTTCT